GAATTAGATGGTGGAAAGGAGTGGCGGAGGAGATTGCTGGGAGCCTTAAATTGTCTTAGGAGGAAATGTCTGGAACAGTCGGGAGTCTGGGGAGGGTGTCTCGGGAGCTTCCAGTATCGCCCAGCCACTTCTCCATACCAACCGTGCTTGGCATCGCTGTTAAGCGAGCACACGAGGGCACCTGTTCGCCGGTGACCGTCCTGCACTTTGCGCAGCACAAATCATCGGGGCCTTCTGGGGAATGTTCACACAGAGGAAATCACACGCAGGCTCCTCGGTATCAATCGAATCGAGCATCTGCCTAAGTGACTCCGCTGCCAAAATGGCGTCCTTAGTGTCACAATCGCGGGACTTTGGACATTCCTCAGTGGTCCGGAACAGGTTCCGCTTTTTGCTCTCATTCACTACACGCCGGTACATTTCCTTCCAAACAGGAAAGGTGTGCACCTCTGGCTTGAATTCAAAACGAATTCTCTTCTCTTGCACAACACGGAAAATTGACTTTCCAGTCCAATCAAACTTCTGTTTCGCATTTGGGCGTTTCTTCCAGTTACCCTTAAATGTCCTACTCTTTCCCTTTGAGTCCATGACTACCATGGTGAACCGGTCTTCCAACCTGGATGACTCCACAGGACAGGATTTACGTGTAGGGAGAAACGACCTGTTCCTAGGCTTCAAAAGGTGCTTGATCAATTCGGCGCCATCTTTGGAGAATTCCCAGTAGTCCTTACTCTTATGGGTCCGAGTAGCGGTCGCTGCTAAGCAAGACATTGCGAAACCTGTTTGGACACATGGACTGGCCTTTGGACTTTTGTCCTTCTTTTCCCTTTTGCTCTTCTTGTCCTTTGTGTCCTTCATTGATTTCTTGTCCTTAGACTTCCTAGCCGCGGGAGAGGGACTTCTTCTGCGTGGGGCCGGCGTAGCCGTTTCACCGTGTTTGAACGGGCATTTGTCACCCCTTTTGCAGTTGCCCTTTGCAAAGAACCTGCATGGCTTCTCAGATTTTCTGCCCCTGCTTGAGCTCCTTGATGAGCTCCTTGAACTATTGCGGGAGGACGGCCTTGACGAACTTCTTGAACGGCTAGACCTAAACGATGATCGACCACTTGAACTTGCGCTTCGCGATCGAGACGACTCCCGGCTAAGGGAGCGGGGACGGGCGCTAGAGTCGTGAGCGTACTTGCATTTGCTTCCGTACTTACACTTGCCAGTTTTGACGAACTCATAGCATTGGTTGCTTCCGTCGCCCTTCGTACTTCGCTTGCCATAACTTGGGCTTCGTGCGCGCTTGTCATGCGGTGCTGGGTTTGCATACTTTGCTGCATGCGATTGAGAAATCTTCTCTCGATTGGTCCTAGGCCTTTCACGATCGAGATACCGTCGGACAGAATTAATCAGAAATTCATAGCTTCAGTCGTTACTTCCTTCCGCTGCGCGTTCATAAACATCAAGGTCAAATCTGAGCTTACGGGACTTCCTGACCTCTCTATAGAATAAATCCTTGAGGGTGGCCGGATCGGGAACATGGCTCATTCCGGTCAACACACTCTCCCATTTCCTAAGAAAGGATTTTAAGTCATCGCTGTCAAGCGAGATCTTCAGGAGGTCTTCCGTGCCATACAGTGCACCCGCTTCTTCGCTAGTCTTGAAATGGACTTCGAACATGAGCAAAACCTGACGACCACGAACAATTCTACCCTGCTGTGCCTCAGATTCCTTGTGGTTAAGGATTTGCTGAGACAGTTCACCTTTGGCAACCTTAGTCAAAGCAGCAAGGAGTTTCGTGTCTAGGGTCCGAAACTTGCCTGGGTCAGCCAGCTCGGAACAAAGCTTTGCTTTGTCCTCGCGAACGGCATATACCTCAAGCACCCACGCAAACGCGGCGTCTGGGTCGTCGGACACGGACCGTATCGCTTCGCGAACAGCGGCCCTCCAAGTGCGGTACCTGTCAGGACTTGGGAATTCAGGGAGATCTATTTTATCGGCCTCTTTTGCCTTGGGTTTGTCTGAGTCTTTGCTTTTCGCGCCCTTAAACCCTTCTAGCAAGGCCCTTTTGATGATTTCCCCCAAATCTTGATCTTGTGGCTTCCTTACCTGAGATGCCGGCCCTTCATCTTTGCGATCGTCCTTTTTCTGAGTTGCATCCTGATAAAAGAAACTTTTGTACAAAGGGTCATCGCTGAAGTTATACTGCGCCGACTTCTTCATGTAATCTGTCCACGGATCCGGTTGTTTGAATTGTTGTTTATCAGTGGAGGCAGTAGCTTGTTCCGCTGCCGGCGCCCCTGTCACAGAGAACATTGAGGGAAATCCTGTGTTGCGACTTGTTGTTGAAGCATCCATCGCCGTTTTCATAGGAATTCCTGCTGGGTCTGAGGGCGAACCTTCCAAGGTTGCTGGAACTGCGCCTTCCGTACGAAGTGGTTCATACGAACGAGGTTGACCACTGGGAAAACATTTGGCTGAGCAGGAGGTGGAGGTCGCTCTGGTTGTTGCGGCCCTGGTTTAGCGGGGCTTGCAGGTTGAGATTTACGCTCCATTTCTTTGCGCTCCTCTTCCTTGTCCGACAAGGCCTGCACAACACGTCTGAGCTCGTCCATTTCACCCTTTAGCACAGCATTGTCCTTGCGAAGTTCAACACTGGTTTTCTCTTGAGTTTCCCGGTCAACTGCATGTTGTGTCTTGGTTGATTCCATCTCACCAATGAGTGTCTTGATCTTTGCCTGTGCAATTGCCAACGAACTGGTCAGCTCCTCTCGCTTGAAGTCGAGGTCTATAGCAACACGGGCTTCTTCAGCGGATGAAGATCGAGCTTGCTCTGTTGCCTCTAAAGCTGCCTTTAGCCTAGACTCTTGCTGTTCGGTGTACTGACGATGTTCAGTTCTCATTCTGTCAACAAATGCATTGCCTTCCTGTGCTAAGGCATTCTTTTCTTGTAAAACCTTCTCATGAGCCATTGTCGCCTGAGCTAGCCGTTGTTGAAAATGCTCTCGTTGCTCCTCCAACGTACCTTGCAACCTTTTGATTGCAACGTTGTCGCGATTGCTGAACCAACTGCTGAACATTTTGTTCTTGCTGTTGAGCTCTTTGTTGAACATTCAACATTGCTTGCTCTGCTGCGGCTTTTGTTGCTGCTATCGATTCGGAAGCTTCTCTCTCGTATATGTGCCTAAAACGCAACGCTTCGAGTTCTGCTTCCCGCCTAGCTTGCTCACTGAGTAACAACTCGTGTTGTTGGAGTTCCCGTCGTAGTTCTTCATCGCCTGATGTAGTGTTCAGGTTGACGACGTTGAACCTTGTCATTGCCAACAAGTTGTTTACTGTTGGCGCACCAGTTACGGCGGCTGACGGCATACCTGCTAGGGTAGCTTGTGTCGCCTCTTGAAGAGTAACACTACCACCACTGTTTAGCATCTCTTGGTACACCTCCGAAGCTACCCTTGAATCCATTGCCGCCACTTGTGCGACTGCCTGTTCATGTCGTTGAACCGCGTCCAAACTATTGGGTATACTCGGAACTATGTCAAAGCCACTTCTGTAGGAGTTCGGTGCGATGTCGTCATCCATCGGGTCCATAGCTCTACTCTAGCTAGCCTACGGCTGATAACCTGTATTTTACAGGATCAGCTCTAATGGTCCTAACTATCTAGCCAACCCTGGTCTACCGCTAAGCGTCCCTTTTGACTCTACCTTGAGAGTACACGCTACGGGGTCCAAGGGGTGAGGGGAATTTCAACAAAAGAAAAGCTTTCAGAAAGTAGCGTGAAACCTTGCGAAACCTATAGAAACACAAGGGGCCCTCCTTAGCCAACCACATCAACAAATGCTGGCTCGGCTGTTCCTGCGCTTCGACTCCTTCAGCATGGGCAACTCCGACAGAACCACCTGGGCGAAAGGCGGCGAAAGGAAAACATACCCAATGCCACTACAGATAAAATGCTGGAGCATTGAAAGCCAAACTGTGCAACTCTCCTAAGTACTGTGTATGCATTGGTATACAATACCCGGTACCAGGTCTACAAAGCCAGGTTTCCACCTGAAGATAGCTATTTGGTGCATTTAATTTGACAAGCCCCAGAAGCTCCGAAGGCATCCACCACAACTGACTCAAATGCCACCAGGTCGCCCTTCAGTCTCTTGATGGCTCCGCCAATGGCTGCGCCAGCTTCACGGGAAGGCTCTTTGTCACCAAGACCCACGAGGACCACGCGCTTCACGGCCTCACAAGTCTTCTGCATCAGAATGGAAGCTGTCAAACACAAATCCGTTTGGAAGGATTCTGTCGGACGAAGGCCTTGCCAAAAACCGGAAACATGGCCGCTGCTCCGGCTTTGGCTTCAAAGGATTCTTCCTTGATGTAGGAGCCAATGGCACCTACACAGCACGTGTCAAACCCAGAAAAAAATAGAACACGGCAAACTTCGCTGCAATGTGCCAGACATTGACAGCTCAGAGATGATGGAAGCTGGCCTCCTAAAGCTTCGTCGATAGACTTTGCAACAGTTGAAAGAATTGGGATGTTGTCATCACCCTCGCCAGGGAGTAATAGGACCAACGTGTCGCCTGCGCCAGACGGAGAATAGACGTTCCGAAGACAACCACTCTTCTGCGTCACATCCGTCCTGTCCACTCTTCTGCCGATGTCTCTGATACAGAAATGGCAGGCCCAACCTGAAAGCAAGCAGCTTGCGAGTCGTCCGAATTCCCGGCCCAAGAGTGTCGATATGAACCATCAAACCACTCTGCCTGTAGATTTCTCTTCCAAGGCGATCATTGCTGAGAATCGGAACTTCTGTGGCATTGTGCATAAGAGAGTCCTTTGGGAAGCCTTTCCAACCTTAAGTAATATATAGATCTTCGTCCTTTTTGGTCGCAACTCTTCGGGTTAGTGGGGCCGTTTTCGGCCGTAAAACGGCTTTTCATGCCAAGTTGCAGTTTCTCTAAAGCGGATGGTGTCAGGCCTCGGCGCGATGACTTGCCAGCACAATGAACGTTACACAGCCGACATGACGAAAATGTCATGGCAATGGCACTATCACTATATGGCACTTCAAACCACAGTGGGCAAATGTGGTCAACATGTATAACCAAACCTACTTGCCACATACCTTCGCAAATGCCATGTTAACACCGAATAAAGCCAGTGACGGTGCTTCAGTGGCCACAGCGCGCAGTGTCACAAGGTCCTTCGAACTGCGAGGTGTTCAGTTTCAATCTTCTGTGATGCAACATGTATCTATTGCACGTACCCACAAGTTGTTTTTCCATACACCAGTCATTATTCACAAATCACAGCGGAAGAAACAAATCTTGTATCTCGTGTGGATCAATTTGATGCCCTGGGCTCCTGTCGCCGCGAACTCCGCCTTCTTGAGACAGCACTTGCACTCACCGCCACGACTGTTAGGCTTGCGATTCGCCTGAGCGGGCATGCGGGCAAATACGGGCACCGGCTTCCTAGTAGCCTGTGACATTTGTGTCAGGGACTGGAGAAGTTGCTGTAAACAGTGTAGTCGGCATATCTATATCTATATATTGATAATACGTGTTCACGGACCTCAATGCTGTTGCAACCAATACTCACCAGGCTGCACATTGCTGTCAAAACTGCGAGTATCCCCTAGGTCCATCTAGCTCCCCTCCCTCTGGAAAAACGTTAATCGAAGTGCCCGATGCACCCCTCAAAACCATGTGGCATGAATGTGCTGTTACCTAGGCATTGATCTGCCCTCAAGCACTTGAAACGATTTCCGGCCTCTGTGTTTGAATTGGCTTCGCCTAGAACTTTCAAGGGTGAAACTAGAACCAGAAGTGGTTGGAGCTCCGTGCCTGAGGTGCGGCTTCCTGAGCACCTGAACCAATTGTCTTCCAATCTGTTTCTCAATTTTCCACCAAACTCTGCACCTCGCAAAGCCCACTGGGCCCGCACAGCAGAAGCCAAGTGGCCCTGGCAACAATGTGGCAAATGGGCAGACTTGTCCAAACGACTGTACAAGACATGACAACAAGTAGACTCATAGACTATCGTAGACTTAGATTATATTGGTGTCCCCTCAGCTTCTTTCACAGAAACACAAGACTTTTGGCGAGAGTCCAACTTCTGCAACGCTAACACCTCCTACTCCCGAGTCCCATTCCCTCGGCACCGTGCCAATCAACCGAAGACTGGCCATGGCCACGTTCTCTTGTGAATCAAAAAGTAGGCTAAGCCTTAAGATTCCTCTGGCAAATGCTGATCCACATTTCCAATTTCGAGAGCAGCTGGTGCTGAAGTATCCCCAACAGTAGTGCATCATCCTGAAACACATCTCGTTTACAGAAATTGAAGTCAGCTCCGGTCAATGATGCTGCAAACAACATTATGGAAATACACGATCCATGGCGGCCAGCAACACAACCACCACACTACATTGCATCATGTCTCCAACAAAATGCTCTCTTCACATGAATCTTCGTGAGCGCTGCAAGCAGCAAAGCACCTGACTCACTGACCTGTTTTCGCAAAACGGTGGTGGTTTGGCCCATACGACATGACTTCTGCAAGCTTGTACGTAGCCAGTTTCTTCAACCACCCTCAAACACGCCAACTAGGTTGCTCTCATCACCGGCACATCGTTTCGACAAGCGATCGCCATCATAATACCAAATGGTGACAGCGACCCGATCACTCCAACATGGTAAGACTTCATGAGGGTTCTGATCTTCACAGAAGAATCCCACCAATCGGCCATGGAGAGGCTCTATTTCAGTGCCACTCGTATCGGCCAACTCTTTGAGAATTCTCAAGCATCCACCATCTGACTCTTGCCAAAACGGGTTTAAGTATAAGACCAAAGTCAAGACTCGACCATTTCCACCACGGCCACCGGCTGTCGAATCCAAGTGTCTGCCATATGCAGACCCATTCCCAGGATACACTGCCAGCATTGGATGGCCTTGCCACAGATTCTTTCCTTCAAGGCCCTTCAACTGGTTGCTTACGAGCAGCTTGGCAAGCAAACGGTTGCACAAGCCAGTCATTTCTCGCAAGCACTCTGGAACTTCTCCAGTGTCAAGGAAGGTGTATGTGTCGTTTTTCATCGGTTTGGCTTCGCAATTGACTGGCCCCTCGTGCTTATTCTTTCCAAAATGAAGCTTTCCTGCTGCCTTCTCCGCTAAAACGAAGTTCCGCAGGTCATCAGCCTGAGGTCCTGGCAGGAACCCATCAAGCACGCCCCAACCACGGGAGGCCAGCTGTGTTGCCAGCTGTTCGGCGAATGTGTCAAGTTCACTTGGAAGTCCATCCCTGGTGGAAAACTTGAGCGTCAACAACGACTTTTTGCGAGACCATCTGGGGACAGGTGCTTCACATGATGTTGGGACTGGGACGCAAAGCAATGGTTGACCCATCGTCCGGGCAATCCTGATCTGAGCATCTGAGACTTCTAAGAGGGGACATCCATCAGAACGATCCAGAAGCTGTACTTGCAAGGTCCAGCCATCAGGCTCCGATTGCCATGAATAGGTTGCCTTCTGAGATGCGTCATGCCCGGCTTGCAATGAAACAGAGGGTGCCTGTGGTGGGTCCGATGCTTCAAAGTTGACTTTCTTGGTGTTGTCCAGCAACCATACAGTCACCGAATAGCGGGGCTTTTCCGAGGGCAGCACCTCATGCGGCGTGCGGCGATCCGACCAAAAGAGCAGGAGCCGATTCTGAAGCGGGGCCACGGTGCGTCGCAGGGCGGTCTGGTTCTCGTGTTGGAAGATCGCCAGTTCTCCACCATCACCGACCTGCCAGTCCCCATTCAAATAAATCAGAGCAGTTAGGAGCCGTGTTCTGCAAAGGTGATGCTTCCCGTCATTGTCCACGTGCTTGATGTAACGAGCCCCGCCCCCAGGATAGCACGCAGCCATGGCCTTGGAGCGCGACGTGACTTTTAGTAAGTCAGGCACTGGTCTGCTGAGCTCTTGGATTAAGGTGCCCAGCTTCACCAGATATGACTCTAAGCCCTTCCCATGTGGCCATTCCTCCGGATCAAACCAACCGATCACATCACCTCGGCTGGCTCGATCGGCATACTTGGCGTCATCCGGTGAGGGCAACTGGCCGTTGACCAAACCTCCACCTGCCAAACGGCCAGCAGAATGACATTCAACTACTTCTTTGCGTAGCTGCTTTGCTTGTTCAGATGTTAGAAAATCGTCAATGATGCAGTAGCCCTGCTTATTCAACTGGGCACCAATGGCATCGATGCTGTTGTCCATGACCCACCACCATTCTTCTCTTCCTACAACTTTGTAGTACAAGCGAAGCTGCTTGCATTCGGCTGCAAATTCAGCATCTGCATCCTCATCAGTCTCTGCCGAACTCATGAGTCAAGGGGTACATTCAAATGATAGCAAAGGGCTGCAGAATGGCAAGCTGTGAAAGGCAGAACCATTGCTAGAGGACTCATCTAGGACCTGGATGACTTGAGGTTTGTAAACATCAATGGCAAACCTGGCATTACCCAACCATCATCTCGCAAAGCCGCTAAGCTGTTACAGTACTTCTTTGCTTAGAATTCAAGGACTGTTCCGAGTACTGTTCCAGGATTCGCCATTGGTACAATATGGCGCGGCGCGGCCTGGCGCTATTTCTAGCCAAGACTCAGGACGCCCAGGGCCATTTTCTGCTATCAAGCCATGCAAGCTCAGAAAGGCAAAAATTGCCTTGCCAAAAGGCTCCTTCCTCCCTGCAAAAGGTCTTTTTCGGGGCCAGGCGTTGTCGGCGGCCGGGAGTTGGAGCTACTCCACCCCCGAATTGGGCCAACAAAGGCCGTGAAACTGGTCAAGTCCAGCGAGGTCTACTGAAAAGGAACCGAAGGGGATGAAGGTCCATCAACCTGAGCATTGAACCAGAGGTCTGGAGTCTGGAACTCCAAGACTTCTTCATGCCTTCAGGAGAGATGACATTATGTCACCGGTCGCTGAGCTTGACCGGTCGCTTGACCGCTGAGCTATGTCGAACTTGTGAAACCTGCTTCGGCCGCGCGAAGTCTCTTCTAGGGGACGGCCAACAGGTGAGTCGTCGAGAAACCGTTGCATGGGCCCGCTTAGCGGAGCACTTCATTGCCTGGCTATGCACTTATAATTAAACATCTAAACACCAAGAATCACCAACAGGGCACATTTGTCAAAGCAGTACAATGTCGCACCTGTGTTTGCATTGAACAAGCTATCAAGTTGGGGCCATTCAAAGGCGCTTCTGCAAATTTGCATAGATTTACAACGTCGTCGGAAATCATTGTCTCGCTTTGTGCCTTGTCAGTGCCTAAGAAAAGCACTACCGTGCAAAACACCGAATCTGAGCTATGTCCGAGTAGAACACCGCCTCTCCTCGTCGCATCATGCTTTCTAGTGTGCAAATCAATGCATTCCATACCAATTGGAGTTGAAAAATCTTGCAGCAACTGGGAACACCAACAAGCTACACAAATTCCCTCAACAACGCAAGGTCGACCTCTGTGGCAAGGCCGACGGCCCCAATGGCCATCCGTGTCGCCGGTGGGAGCGGATGAAGGGCTTTCGCCCGCCGCCTGAGTCGAAGTCGACACCAACGGGACCCGCACGGTGTGAGAGCGAACGATGCCAGACTT